TGCATGCGTGTGCGCATCTTTTTAATGACGTAAGATAGCGAAAAGCCACATAGAAATGAAGCGCTTCCTTATATTACAAATAGAAAACACAGACAGACAGACACGCACATGTGTGCGTGCGCGCATGGACGTGCGCACGTGCGTGTCTGTGTGACCACCATATCTCCAAGAGGAAAGAACCTAGAAACCTGAAATTTTGTACCCATACTAAGTGGACCCTGATGGTGTGCACCTGGGTATTACGTATCTTATCCACATGCATGCGCATCTTTTTAATGAGGCAAGCTAGCGAAAAACCACATAGAAAAGAAATGGTTCCTTATATAACAATTTCTAATATATATAAAAGCTAGTATGTTTTAATAACAATGCGCTCTAACAATGGCTTTTATGTCATGTTGCTTAGCAATAAAAGTATATAGGTTATACTTTTATGCTAAAATGGGTTCAGAATACACACACTATCAACCTAATAACCCGAGTGAAGCCGGATACTTTCTCTAGTATGCAATATAACAAGTATGCAGCTGTCAGTTAACATAGTGATATCTCTTGGAATATTTAAAAGTTATGGTTTTTTACGTGTTGACAAACACTACGCTTTCATTTGGCACATAGCAGTGAAACATGATAATAGTTTCAGGGAAGACGTGCCTGACAAATGACAGTGAACTGTAATAGTAGGTTATGTAAGAGAAGACATGGTTGACACATGACAGCAAACAGAGATATTAAATTAGGGAAGATAGGTCTAAAACAATAGTGTTTGTATATTTGTTTCGAATATTCGCGCAAAGCTACATACAAAGACTATCTTCCTTATAATCGAATAGATTTAATCAGCACTCTTCTTACGCTTTCAAATTGCGACTTTGCGGCAAAGGGACGCGTACCGCCGACCCTAGAATTCATTGTTCGACAAGCTAAACATTAGGTCATGCCCAGCCTAACATGACAGTGAAAGTGATATGAAATTATAAGACCCATTTTCTAAATGATAGTAAATACTGCTATTAGTTATTAATGGGAGACTTGCTCACGATACTTGAACAATGAGATTAGTTTATGCAAAGACAGGTATGAAGTATTATAGTGAGCAATGAGAATAGGTTATTTAAAGACATATTTGGCATATGACAGCCTACAGTATTATGTTAAAGAGAAAACATATCTGACACGTAAAAGTGAACAATGACATTAAATTAAGGGAGAATGTGTAATTTATGACAGTGATGTTGTAGTTGTACTTGGATCTTGTATTTATGGCAAAGCTACTAAGGTTCTCTACTGTTGTCCCTAAATTTGAACTACTGACCTGAGTGAAGGAAGCCATTTAGTAGCATCTCACCATCCACGCCAAATAACTGACTGCCATTCTAATAACACACCCACGGTTTCAAATGAAGGGATATTGTGACACCACACGAATTCGATCTCGATTCGTCAGCTCCGAAATCAAGAGCTCTTCCAAAGGGCCAACAGAAAAGGATTCAATAGTAAACAGTAACATTAGTCTGAAAAGTAGAAATAAATCGCAGTATCAAGTTAATAGAAGATGTGAAAGTAAATACATATATTTGAACTGATTGCAATGTGATATTTTCAGTAAAAATATGGGAGGGATATATTTAACGAAGATAGCATAATGTGACCACAAAAGGATTTCTGTAAAGGCCGACAAGATGAAGTTTAGAATAAAACACGCTTCTACAATCGTAAAGAAAGATTGAGCTTATCAGTGCAGGTTCAATTGTTGTAATATTCAGAAAGTATTCACTACGAGTTACCACGCGGTCATCTTTAAGAGAGACGGTGTTATCATCGCTATTCTTACGTAGCTTCTCCCTTCTTTCCGATACGATTAGAACGGCCTTTGCTGGTTCAATTGTTGTAATATTCAGAAAGTATTCACTACGAGTTACCACACGGTCATCTTTAAGAGAGACGTGTAGATTATCATCGCTATTCTTACGTAGCTTCTCCCTTCTCTCCGATACGATTAGAACGGCCTTTGGTGGTTCAGCAGTAAGTGTGCGGGTTTATAATGCTAAAAATCGATTTTTGATACCCGCGGTGGGCAGAGGACAGACAGCCCATTGTGCAGCTTTGTGCTTAAAAACTATTAGCACGTGTAATATATTAAATAACAAAGTAAAATTTCGCCCATTTGTAAACTAAAGTCATTTTCCTAAACAAAAACAAACTAGGTAAATAGTGTTTGAATTGTTTTGGTTTACTTTGCTAATTTTCTCAGGATTTGGGATAACGAAAGCTAATTCTAAGTTGTATTTTATCTAAACAATGTACCCCCCAGTGGCTCAGCGGTAAGTCAGAAAGCTAATGACGCAAAAAATCCACCTTCCAGCTGATAACCACAAAGTCTAGACTTGTGGATACTTTAATCATAAATATTGACACTAGCATAACTCATCTTAAATAAAGTTCGCCAGTCATTACATATAGAAAACATTTATATTGTTATTTGAGCGCAGCAGAATTCGTATTTAACGAGTTATCCATTTAGAACTGATGTGTTTTCTTAGATTAGAGTTCATAACGTATAAATTATTTACTTACGGTTTGAATATACGCAGCAATGGTACTTTGTGAAGCTGCAGTGAACTTAAAATTAGATACAGTATTTCTTATAAAGTAAAACAAAACATGGAACTTCAAAATAGTTATGTTACACGCATAACATGCTACTGAGATGTAAAATATATATTCCTTGAAAGGTATTTGTTTTATTACGAGTTAAATATCCTGGTGATAGAACTTTAGTGTATAACAATGCGTCGTTGATTTTTAGTTGACTGGTCTATATTATCACCGAATTGTTACTTTTCCACACACATTAGAGACAATAACAGAAAATTATTTTTCATTTCTAGTAAGCTATTATCAGTTCAGATAAATATCCATAGTGTCTACTGTTCTACGTACAAAGCTAAAGTTGATAAGTAGCATAAAATCTAGTATCAAAAGGCTTAGTGATCGTAATCATTAGTACAGGTTATGCGTCTTCGTGAAGTATTAATGTTACTGTTTTTCCCATTAAAATACTTCCTTTAATTAGTCTTAGCGTGATTAGAGTTTTTATTTTTAAGTCAGGATTTCTATGGATTGACGTGTTATCTTTCTGTGATTTATGCTCTGCGATTAATATCATAAATTTGTTTTTCATGTATATTTTTCACTGGGGTAATTAGCCGTTTAATTAAGACCTTTTTAACACTTATCTACTTGACCTTTGAACTTTCTCATTGTTGTATATTTGCAGAAAGTGAATGTTTTTCCATCAATTTCTCTATTCTATATACATTCATTTAAACTGGATACAGATGCATTTATTAGTATTATTGTTTTTGAAACTAGAATATATTATATACAGAATAGCTATCTTGAGTTTACAATTGATTTATAGAATCTCTCTTGTTTAATCGAACAAAAAACCTAGATTTTACTTCAACCGTTTGGGAGCTCCGGTCTTACATTAGATGTTAAATTAAATGTTTGTTTATCCTCATAAAATACATTAATGACAGATGAAAGTCTGTAAGACGTGTTCTTCTGTGTATATTTCTCATCAAGTTAAACAATGTCTGGAGTGATGTCTAGACAGGTTGGTGCCGATTCCTTGTAACGTTAATAATTCTTTGCTGCATCAGATAGTGAGGAATGCTGGTTAGTTACGTAACATGTATAAGCCATTACTTGTTTTACTAAATCTTATTTATTTTGGAAAATGTATAGGGAAATTTATTTGAATATTTCTCCTAATTGTAAAAGTCTTACATTCAACCTTTTTAACCATCTTGTTAACTAAAAAATCATTCTTATTTATGGAAAGTTTTTATTATATTATGCATTTTGTGTAAGTGGTATACAGCAGACCTACTAGATTGTAAACGACTTTGGTTTAACCACTCTGAAAAGCCAATAGAACGTTTCTAAACTAGCATTTTTCCAGCATTCTCATTTCTAAGTGATACTCATTTAGATCATAGGCTTATAAGGGAACAGAGATAGATATCAACGAGCCTCGGACTTAGAAAAATTAAAAGGTATAGCCTATAAAACAATCAAAATCCCGTTTGTTAACGTTGGAATGTCAGTGGACGGACCAACAAAGATCTTGTAATGATGTCAGCTTCGCTTTACATAGTGTGTGGTTTGACTTTTAGTAAAGAGCTATTATTGTGGCTATTAAATGTTTCCATTGAGGTTCCAAAGGCGTATGTATACACGTACAAATGGATTTTGTAAATGACGCATGCAATGCTACAACAAAAGGATGATCTTTGAAACGTTTATTATCCAACAAGCGTCGCGACGTAGGATATTCAGCCCTGTTGGAGCCAAAAGATGTAAGAAAGATTAATTTTTATCTGATAAATAACATATTACACCAACTTGTAATACCTGGAAATAGATATATTTTGTGGTTAAAAGACTGAGGTAATGAACATTGCTTAGGTTTCTAAGGGTTATTTTGAAGTATTCTACCTTACATTCCTTCCATTCAGACATTTGGTATTTTCAAGTTAAACTCCACCAAGAAAAATCAATGATAGTTTAATGGTAGAGAGGAGAACGGTATCATAGTCAACATACAACATATACAGTAAAGTATGCTGGGGGACCATTACAAATCAGAGTAGTTAAGGGATCTGGTAAGCGCAAAAGAATGCCGCCACCTGGGTTTACGCAACTGTTATGTAATAGACAAAATATACCAACTGAGGGTTACATAACTATATGTAATGTGCAAATTATGCCGACAGCTGAGGGTTAAATAACTATTACATAATAGGCACTAGAGGGCGATGACATCCAAAGTGGTACAAGAGAGCGCATTACCAGGGGTGGCGTCATAGTTCCACGACGTGGCACCAGAAGGCACTGCTGCCTTAGGGAAGAAGTGAAATCATAATTCGATACCAGAGGGTTTGTTACTATAGGTGGATGTTATTACCAAGGTTTTATAAGTGGACAGTGTTACAAAGGTTCTATAGGAGGATGGTCTTGCTAGGCATACTGTGTGTGTTTTACAAAGGCGGGCAGTACTTCTATAGGTGGGCAGTGTTACTATACTTCTGTAGGATTGTATACAGATTTCAACTTGTCTCAAGTTATTTATATAGTTTTCATTTATATATTACATGTGTGTTTTACAAAAATGAATGGCGTTACTTGGTGGATTGTGTTACTAAGGTTCTATAGGTGGATGGTATTACAAAGACAGATGGTGTGCTATAGGCGGATAGTGTTACTATACTTCCATAGTATTGCATACAGATTTCAACTTGTCTCAACTTATGCTTATAGTTTTCATTTATATATTTAATTGTATTACATGTGTTTTTCAAAGGCAAATGGTGCTTCCAATAGTGTTACCATACTTCCCTAGGATTGCAAACAGATTTCAACTTGTCTCAACTTATTTTATCGTTTTAATTTATATATTATATGTGTTTTATAAAAATGGTTGATGTTACTAAAGTTCTATAGGTGGATGACAAATTGTGGAACTGAGGTTAGTGCTACTAAAAGTAAAAGTATAATTTATAAAAGCATAAAGTACTACAAAATGATCACTCTGTACTCTAAATAGAGTCACGCCAACACCCTAAGAAAACCAACTTCTGTGATACTATGAGAATATACAGATAGTCAAAAGCTAGTAGTTACCGAGAAAACACCACAACATTAAAGCATTGATTTAAAGTAGCCAAGATTAGACTTTTACAGGCAAAGTCTAGAAATAAAGGGTGGGAAAAGGGATACTATACAGCTGGTACTTTGGTGCTATACGGTTGGCACTAAAGAAAATATTACGAAGACAACTGGTGTTTGTTTCATAATAAGGCATAAAGTATGTGCTAAATGGAACAACGGTAGAGATATTTTTGCCCCACCCTGTATATCTGAGTTTTGAATAATAACATCATATATATTTTCTAGCTCTTACAAACAGATATCCAAACACGTTTCTAATCGTACAATTGTCAATAAGGAATTTTTTTATGAAGTTGTAAGATGATGAGTCTCTAATAATCTCCTGTAGAAGTGTTTATTCTGTAAGATGGTGAGTCTCTATAACAATTTCCTGTAGAAGTGTTTATTCTGTAAGATGATGAGTCTCTATAACAATCTCCTGTAGAAGTGTTTATTCTGTAAGATGATGAGTCTCTATAACAATCTCCTGTAGAAGTGTTTATTCTGTAAGATGATGAGTCTCTATAACAATCTCCTGTAGAAGTGTTTATTCTGTAAGATGATGAGTCTCTATGACAATCTTCTGTAGAAGTGTTTATTCTGTATATTTTCCGACAGTACAGGAAAGGGTAAAATACTTATAAACATTGATAATTTTATTAAATATTAAACAAAATAAAAGAGCATGATAGATAGAAATAGTTTCTAAATTAGATATTATAAAACCTTTGTTCATATACATATGTTACAATTTATGAACATTAGAGATGATTGTTTGTTTATTTCGTTGGATTTCGCGTAAAGCTACACAAAGGCCATCTTCACTAAACGTCCTAAATTTTGAAGTAATAGAATGGAGGGAAGGCACTTAGTAAACACCACTCACCGCCAACTGTTAGGCTGCTCAAGTCAGACCGAATAGTTGGATTTGATCAAGCACAACTATTATTGTATTTCTTGGCGTTAACGGGATGAGAACACAGAATCTCAGCTGCACAATCCTACACGCTAACCACTTGAACCTTCACGTTTTTGTGGTTCAAACTTTTACACACGTATTTTCATTGTATTGAAATTGCCCATAATTTTTTAATGGTGATGTAAATAACAATCTGAACTTGATCGACCGTATCGACGTTAGTTTAGATATGACAAACTTAACCATATGTCAGGTACATATCTGTTATTATAAACAAAAACACAATTTCAAATAACTAGGCCAAAAAGAGAAACAGCTGAGATGATAAGACAGACAGTTAAGACTAGGATATAAATTAGGAAGAGGAGATTTTAAAATGCACCATATGGTAAGCAGAGCCCACATGAAAATCTCGGAAAAAAATAAATAAAAATTACAGTCCGTCTTCTATCTACTTTAATACTGCTTGTCACGGCGCCAAACATTCTTCAGGATTTATGCTTACATTTCTCAGATTTTTTTATTTTTAAGTTTTGGTTAAAGATATGAAAATAAAACAGTTTCAGAACAACAACCATTCAAGGATATAACATATTTCTTCGTTTGTTCTTGCTTTACAGCAACTAAAGACCTAACCCGAGAAATGTATTTTACCTTTAACAGAATGCATTAAGTAAAGATGTTTCTAGCAGAGATTTTGAGATTGACATCGAATAATGGATGTTAACTACCAGTATTATGATCGTGCGTGAAATTTTAACCAATTTCAGTGAACAGCTTAATATATTAGGTCGTCAAGAAATTCATGTCGCGTTTTGGAACGTTTTTCATTAACCACCCCCCAATAAACGTACATCACGTATAGTTAAACGAACCATCTAAGCGTCACGTTAGTGTAGCCTATATAATATGTAAAGTTTAGTATACTCTAATCCCTTATAGTGATGGCACACGACGAGACACACATTCGGCATGTAATGCTGTTTGAATCACAAGGGAGACGACGCCTCTGTAGCCAAAAGAATATCATAGAAGTTTATGGAAATGTTTTGAACGTTCGTAAGTGTCAACGATGGTTCAGCAAATTTCGTTCGGATGGCTTAGCCTTAAAAACTGTT